TATATATATATATATATATATATATATATATATATATATATATGAGTTATTATTTTTAATATCAGAACTAGATTTGTTATTGTTAACTTATGCATGATATGTAAATCGATTTTTGACAAAATTACATTACAAACAATTTGTAATATTTACTGGTCTAACGTGTAAAAAAATAAAAAACAGCAAAAAAATAGAATAAGCACCAGTTCTATTGATTTTCAATTTTTTCCCGACGTTTAAATATCTTTTAATAAATTATTACTATTGAGTTCCGCATCTGTTTAGTGACATCTAACCAAAAGGGTGAATAGTTAATCAAGATTGAGTGGAAAAAAATCACATGTTTTGGCGGGAATAATGTGACATCTTAGAACAGGTTAGATGCAACCTATTATCAGTTGTTGTATTAAAAATTTTTTGTTACATTATTGCGTTGTATCTTTGAGTTGAGACCATGTGGTGCACAACGCCTGAAATTTCATGGCATAATCGTGATCCAGTTTTAAGTATTGACATACAAACTGGAATTCATGAAACGCCAGAGAATGAAATTTTTTGGCGACTTGCCACTGGCGGTGCCGACTCGCACGTCTTGGTAATATACAAAACAGTTTATATTAGATATAAACTAAAGTATTGAACATTTGTTTTTGAATTACATTTTTTAAATCAGATATGGCATTTAACAACGAATGAAAGCAGGGCTGCTACTGTAAAGTGTGTAGCCGATTTAGAACGACATCATAGAGCAATTAATGTTGTGCGATTTTCACCATCGAAAGATATTTTGGCATCAGGAGATGATGGTTGGTAATATCACTAAAAATTAATTAAGAAGTAGTTTTACGATTGATATTGAAATTTTAGAGTCGATTATAATTTTATGGAAACAAAAGGAAGATTGTGAATTCTTTGTTAATCCTAATGAAACTAAAGATAAAGAACAATGGATTTCCTACAAAGTATTAAAAGGCCACCTTGAGGATGTTTATGATATCAGTTGGTCACCAGATTCTAATATGTTGGTCTCTGGATCTGTGGATAATACAGCTATTTTATGGGATGTTCAACAAGGTCGTTCTGTATCCATATTATCTGATCATAAAGGTTTTGTACAAGGAGTATCATGGGATCCTTGTAATCAATATATATCTACAATAAGTACAGACAGGTAAAAATATAAAATTTTAATAATATTCGTGATGCCTTTAATGTGTTGACCAAATAATTTGTTTGTAGAATATGCCGTTTAATTGACATAAATACTAAGAAAACAGTCCAAAAGATTTATAAGGCAAAAATTCCAACACCAGCAGATCATCCAATAAAAGATAAAGCAGTACGCTTGTTTTATGATGATACTTTTAAATCATTCTTTAGAAGATTAACATTTTCTATAGATGGATTATTACTTATTGTACCTTCTGGTATAATTGAGCCTTCGGAAACTACTGAAAGAATATCTAATACAACTTTAGTGTTCTCAAGATACAATTTAAGAGAGTACGTTTATTTATACTATCATATATCATATAGTAGATATAATATGAAATATTTTCAGACCTGTTATGCTTTTACCTTCTTTGGATGAATGCACTATTGCAGTTCGATGTTGTCCAATTTATTTTGAATTACTAAAGGATGGCCCGACACCAGCAATAGCATTACCTTATAGAATGATATTTGCTATTGCAACTCAACACTCAGTAATGATTTATGACACTCAACAAATTTCACCAATTGCTGTGATATCAAATATTCATTATACTAGATTAACTGATGTTGCATGGTAAGCAATACATATATAACATTATTTTTAAATAAGAAAAGATAATTAATCTATTTAATGTTTTTAGGTCAAGTGATGGTAGAATATTAATAGCTTCTTCAACAGATGGATATTGTTCTATAATACAATTTCAAAAAGGTGAATTAGGTGAAGAATATAAAAAAGGTACCCCAACAAATTCTAATACTATTCATAATGATTCTAAACAACCTACATCTAGTTCAAGTGCTAAAGATATATCTGAAAAATCTGTACCAACTATTGACATAGATGATAGTGCTATGGATATTGAAATTATAAAATCAGAAGAAAAAGAAATTCTTAATGAAAATCCAGAATGTGCCTTAAATCAAGATAATAAATTAGATAACACACTTGACAAGGAAAATGATTTAAAAAATAAGGAACCAGAAGATACTGAAGATATTAAATTAGTTTATACTGAAGAAAGTATTACTGAATCTACTAAAGCAAATATAAGACATACGCCTAAAAAGGAAGAAGTACCATTAATAATTCCTAGAAAACCTCGAAGAGTACAACTAATTACACTTTCTAGTCCAAAGGGATTTAAAAAAGAGTAACTTTAAGTCTGAAACATGATTAGCAATTATAAAATATATTTACATATCGATATATATTTTTGTAATATTTCTTTTTGTATATTGTATTTTGTATTGTATTACTATAAATATATAAATTATAGATTTAATTTATGGCTATTATTTTTTCTTACGTAATTTATTTTATTACATGTTTCATTCTTCATGACGTTATATAGAATATAATTAATGACATTAATTAGACATTATAAAATTTTTATTTATATTTATATTTGCTCACATAAAAAAACGTATAAATTCTAATAAATTCATTTATTTTAATTATACAATTTATTATTTAAGTTTCAATTATTACAGATACTATATTATTTATCTTTGACACTTATGAAATTTAGAACAGATACGTATTATATATCTATGAATAATAATATGGCGTATCGCAGTGATCTGACTCTTCGTTCAGTCAGACAGTAGTTGAATCGTGGTTCGTCCTGACACGTTTTTACACGCTTAAGAATTTACATCAACAATCATGGTGAGTTAATTTATCATACATTATTGTTATTTTCATACTATCAACGATATAAATATAAATTATAATTAAAAGCGATGATTATAATCAATTATAATTAAAGTTATTCTACTTATAAAAAAATTCTTAATTAAAGATCTTTTTATTATAAAAATTTATTTAAAAAATTTATAACGTAAACATTATTGGGAAAGATTAGATTTTCAAATAGTTATTGTTATATATTATATAAATGTTTAATAAATTGCTGTTAATAAGATGTGAAAAATTGTGCAATATTAACATTGTGTATAGCCAGGATATCGTGTAATTATGCTTCCTCCTAGTTTAATCGACCGATTAGAGAACTGTCAATAATAAATTGTGCACAAGACAGTTTCTAAAGTTAAGGTTCATACGATGGATACATTATAGTTGGATAAATATTTCAGGGAATCAAAAGATCGATTTTTTTACTAGCATAAAATCCAATGAACAAAATTTTTCAACTTATACCTATGTTTCAAATTTTATTACTTGATTTTCAATTTATTCTATTAATTGCAATATTATATTATTTAAATTTTAAATAATATCCTTTTAAAACATACCAATTGATGATTAAATAAAGCGAAATAAACCGCTGCGCTTAGTGTAAATGTTTCATAATTCATAATCGAAATTCATTCTATTATTATAAATTTGAAGACGAATTTTATGAAAGAAAATATAAATTTTAAAATATTCATATTTACTATAAAAAAAAAAGAAAGTGAAAGAAATGTAACAAATCGTCATGAATGTTCTGATATAAATTTATTTGTCTCTTTAAGTATTTATATTCACGGGATATAAATAAACTTTTTCTTATATTAAAAATGAAATCTCTCTAAATTTAATTAAATTATAAATGTATTTATACGTGTATTTGATTGCATAATATACGTATATACGAATGATCGATCGGATTAGTAATTTGTCTCTTTGCGGAGATCATTTGTTTGGTGAATCGCAAAATTGTGTCACGCATAAAACGATGTTCGATCAAGCTGCTATGGTTACAGTATGTCAACCTGTAAAAATCGATTTTTAGCATAATGCACATAGAGAATGTAAAGTACCGGAAGACTCTATGACTCTTCTATGCACTGTGTGCATGGCGGCGACGAGTCTATCTCTAATAACTACACCTAACGATGCGGCGTTCTTTTTTAGATCGCGGTTAAATTATTAAATGAAGATATGATAGGTCAAGGTAGAAAAGCTCTACTATTTACTGACAGGTATAACATTGCTTTATGCCGATGGAATTTCGACATGTCAGTTTGTAATCACATCGTGTTGAGTGCTTTAGCTGATTTGCCTTAAGAATCCAGTGATTCGCTTGATCGACGTAAATAATAGCATTGGAAAAATTCGAGCTAACTTTATCTCGTTTACTTCTAACGATGAAAATCTTGATTTCATACTCTTTTAAGCAAAAAGAAAGTAGTTCGTACAATTTTCATAATTTGAAATATTTAACGAAATGAGAACGTACATAAACATCAATCGAACGTCAATCGTACGAAAAATAGGAAGAATAGACATAAATGGCACAAACGATTCTAGAATATGTCTGAATATTATTTTTAAATGTTCTTTCATTTGTGTTTTGTAACTTTTTATTAAGCGCAACGATTAGAAGTAACTTGATTCCAAAAGCGATAATAAAAAAATAATGGCAAAAAAGGTATGGCATTAACTTTTAATTTCTGGAAAAATTAATAGTAGGTTCAACTGTTTAATTTTTAGTAATACGAATCTTCGATCGTGATTGAGATCGATTTAATAATAGATTGTGGATTTTTATATATTCATGAAAGATTCGAAGAATGCGTAGAATGCATGTAACAAGTAAAGATATGTAAATAAATTCAAAATAAAGTCATTAGTCATTATATTTAGCAAATAAAACAATTGTCTATCTAGATTTCATTTTCTTTTTCAATTTATATGTAGAATCTGAAATTTGTATGAAAATCCGCAGTCTAATAATAATAATAATTAAAGAAATTATTAGATATATTCGTTTACGTATTACTAGCGAGAATGCATATCCATTCATATTGGACAAGCTGGTGTCCAAATGGGTAACGCATGCTGGGAACTGTACTGTTTGGAACATGGAATTCAACCTAATGGACAAATGCCCAGTGACACCACTATTGGTTACGGGGATGATTCTTTTAATACATTTTTTTCCGAGACAGACTCAGGAAAACACGTTCCGCGTGCTGTTTTCGTTGATCTCGAACCAACAGTAGTAGGCAAGTTATTGATAAAAATGAAAGAAACGTTTCCATTTCCTTACTAAAGCGTATTTATGATTCTTCAGATGAAGTTCGTACAGGCACATATAGGCAACTGTTTCATCCGGAGCAATTAATCACGGGGAAAGAAGATGCCGCGAATAATTATGCCCGAGGGCATTACACTATAGGTATACGTACAATTTACGTAAATCGAATAATTTCAACAACGAATTATTGAATTCTCTTGTTCTCCTCATTTCTTCCAATTCCAAATTGTACTGTCCAGGGAAAGAAATTATAGATCTGACTTTGGATCGAATTCGCAGACTTACCGAACGATGCAGAGGCCTGCAGGGTTTCTTAATTTTCCATTCGTTCGGTGGTGGTACGGGCTCAGGTTTTTCAAGTTTATTAATGGAAAGATTGTCCGTCGATTATCCAAAAAGAAGTAAATTAACTTTTAGCATTTATCCCGCGCCTCAGGTAAAGAATCACTGGAAATGCAAATTTGAAGTATTTGTTAATAATGAATTGTAATAATTGCGTACGATATGATGGATTGTTTATCAGGTATCGACTGCTGTTGTAGAACCATATAACGCAATTCTTTATACACATCCAACGTTAGAACATTGCGACGTGGCATTTATAGTTGACAATCAAGTATGTATTCCAGTTCCATATCTACTATATGATTCTTATGGCCAATTAAAGTTCAACTTAAGAAATATTACGATTTGATATTACGAATCTTACATGTTAATAATTGACAGGCTATTTATGAATTATGCAGAAGAAATTTAAGCATTGATAGACCTACGTACACGAATTTAAATCGTTTAATTGGACAAATTGTTTCATCGATCACGGCAAGTTTACGATTCGATGGAGCCCTTAACGTTGATCTTACTGAATTTCAAACGAATTTAGTACCATATCCGCGTATCCATTTTCCTCTTGTAAGTCAATTACAAACATCTTGTAAGTCTGTTAAAAATTAAATTATAATTAGTTAGATTTATATAATGATGTTGCGAAATTTCATCGCGCTTAAACATTAAGATATTACTAATATTTTAACAAGGCACAGTCAAATAGTTTATATTATGTAGGCGACGTATGCTCCAGTCTTATCAGCTGCAAAAGCTGGTCATGAGAGGATCACAGTGGCAGAGATAACGAACTCATGTTTCGAACCAAATCATCAGATGGTGAACTGTGATCCACGCAGAGGAAAATACATGGCAGTTTGCATGCTTTATAGAGGAGATGTTGTTCCCAAAGATGTAAATGCTGCGATTGCGACAATCAAAAGACAGAAGCATGTTCAATTTGTCGAATGGTGTCCGACTGGCTTTAAGGTTTGTTCGATAATAAATAGTCTGAAAAAAAGAAAAAGATTTAATATGGCTCTTGCAACACAAAGTTAAATAAGAAATATTTTTCTGTGTAAGAAATTTGTTGGAAGATATTAATCAAAAGATCTGACTATATTAACAGAAAAAAAATCAAATTTTAACGAACAAGGAATTCCATTTTTTATTACATTTTTGTGTAGGTAGGAATAAATTATCAACCCCCTACTGTGGTACCTGGAGGTGATCTTGCTAAAGTAGAAAGGGCTGTCTGTTGTCTTTGTAACACTACTGCAATAGTTGAAGCATGGGCAAGAATCGATAATAAATTCGATCTGATGTATGCCAAACGAGCATTTGTTCACTGGTAATGCTATTAACCCTTATTATTCTGTTGCATTTAAATTTGAGGGAAATTTTTTTTAATCTTTCCAAACGTAGGTTTGTCGGTGAAGGTATGGAAGAAGGTGAATTTGCGGAAGCGAGAGAAGATTTAGCAGCTTTAGAATTGGATTATCGTGAGGTTCAAGAAGATGCTGCTAACAGTGAAGAAGAAGAAGAATACTGATTCTTTAACTGTATAAAAAAATGTATTATTTACATCTGACTTTCTGATTAAAATATATTAAATGAAATTAATAATTTATGTATTTATTATTTATAATTTACAATATTATTAATGCACACATTAGACAATGCGAGAGCTTTATTTCTTTATCATTTTAATATCGTCATCGATTAAAAATAACAGCGTTTATAATAGCACAAACAAGATAATAATAAATATGAAATATGAAATTACCAATGAGCAATCAACTGTAAAAAACAAATTGTTAAGTGACTAATGAAAATAGTCTTGAAGAATAAAATTAGAAAAAAAGAAACATTACTTTGTTATGTATAATCGAAAGACCTAAGAATTTTCTGCTAGATTTAATGCTTCACAAATTCATCTCACTTCAACAAGAAACATTTCGATATCTTAATTTTGTCAGAATGGATTTCAATTTGTTGTTATAATTTCTAGAGTTATAGACGTTCTACGACTAAATAGTACAAGACATTTCAATAGTAATCTTTACTTCTGCGTACAAAGATAAAATCATATTTTTATACTACTCTACCGAGTTACTATTTTTTTTTTTATAATAGACTAAAAATCTGCTCTTGATAAGAGAAATAAGAATTACTCATGAAACAAATATGACTTATTTTGCGTAATATGAGAATTTTAGCAAGTGATCAACATTTGAATATGCCGCGGTTCATTGTGCGCCTGCGCAAACAGTTGCGCATCTGTGAGAAAGTTTATATAAAAATCTTGTAAAATTTTCGTGAAATTTAAATCGTTGTTTTTATATTAAAAATATACATCCATTGCTATTGTATTGTTCTGTGATATCCTCTAAATCACAGACGAGGTTCGAAATTAAAATCGAAAATATTATTAACAAAAATTAATGCTCATCAATGGAAGTTTCATTCACCATAAAACTATTTTCAAGTTTCAACGCGTTTGAAAACTTTTTAAAATTACTCTTAATAAATTATATATTCTGTTATAAATTTTATAGTAATATTTAGATGTTATCCAGTCTAGATTATCCAAAATTTTTCTCCAAAAATTTGATTATCTGAACTAGACTGCAAGTACAATCAGTTAAATATTAAATAACGTTTAAAAATATAAAAAATTTACTTATTACAGGCCATTTATTAAAAATGTCAAATAATACTTAATATTATAAATGTCAAATAATATTTAATGTTATAAAAATGAATTGATGGTTTAATTGATATACACACGTGTCAAATGTCTCTATAAAATTCAAACTGAATTTTCATAAATAAAATACATATAAAACAAGATACTTTATAATTACAAACGAAATATATCTTTACTTACATTTATGTTTGGATATTACAGTTAGATTATTTTAAATCCAAAAACGAATAGATACCAACATAATTATGTTTCTAGAATAAAATTTAGTAAACTTATTTTTGATTTCTTATAGCATTTTACCAACGATTTTGTGTTTCAATAATCATAAATCTTATTTATTGTCATCATCAACGTTATAATGTACCTATTATATGGAAATAATTGAAGTAATTTAGTGTATTTCTGTTAAAACAAAATGTCACCAACCGACTACATTCTATTATTACATAGGAACATTGTTTTCTTATCCTAAATATCAAACGAATGTTGCCTTTTGCCATGTACATTTAAAAATATTTGTCTGACAATGTCAAAACAAAACACTATGTAATACATCTAAATATCGTATAACAAAGATAAGATTTCTAAATACAGTTTCTAAATATTAAGTTTTTTAAAATGTTAAATCAACAATGTGCAGTTTTAACTGCTATTGACTCATATATCGAGCCACTTATAAATCGTGTTTTATCAACTGATAAATTTGGTTAGTTCAATGCATAAAATATATTATAATCACTTTTAATTTAGTGACATTATTATTTGTTATAACATACTGTTATTTACTTTTTTTTATCAGGAGTTTGCTGTGAAACAATTAAGATAGATTCTATGTCATCCAGTTGTGGGAGTGTACAAGGAGATCGTTTTAAATTATCTATACCCTATGCTAGACAAAACTTAACTTGGAATATATTCTTTGATTCACAATGTCCAGAAATGGGACCTGATTTCATATTTAATGATAATACTTTCTTAGCAGATATGGATGTAGATGCATTATCTGCCAAAGTACCTAGTCTTGCTAAATGGAATCCTAATGATGAAAATGCATTATTAAATGTCCTTAAAGAACTTTTAGCATGTTATAAGCAACATCAGGTTTTTGACTTTACTTATTTTACTTATTTACTTATAGTTTTTGAATATTGGAACTATATTAAATTTAATATATCTTTTTGCATTAGATTCAATTACTTCAGAAGCAAACTCGGTTACAATTGCAATATAATATGCTAATCAGTTCAGCAGAAGTAGAAGATGTTGAAGTAATATTGTTACCATTTAGTTCTAAACCAACAGAAGCTAGATTTCTAATAAGTTTATCAGTAGATCTTTCTCAACTACAAAATCGCACTAGCAAATCAGAAAGTGACATTGTAATGCTTCTTGTAACATATTGTGGAATAGAATGGAATCGTATTACTCCACAACTTCATTTTTCAAAATCTTTAGAAGAAACTCTCGGCGGAACAGGAGAATTACGTCTACCACAATTTCTATCTGATACATCTCTAGTACAGTATATATTAAAAATAAAAAAATATGTTGCAGGAAAGGTATGAAGTTTATTTTAATTGAAATTTATGCTTGTAAAAATTACCAATAAAATAAATATTATTTTAGGTAAATTCAGCAATCCAAAGCTTAGAAAAAAGAAGAGATTATATAGCAGCATTTTTATGTATCAATCATTTGTGTATTCTAGAATATGATACTATAAACTGTAAATATGTATCATGTATATTATGTGAAGATGACTTTTATGTAGTAATGCATGTTCAGCTTCCATTAGGATTTCCTCGAGAAGCACCTATAGTTGAATTTAAGTCAGTATATCATATGTCTTCAGAGCATGTTCCTTACAGTGAAAAAATTAAACATTATCCCTATGATTTTAAATGGCCACCACACCATATGATAAAAGAATTATGTAAGGCCATGTACCAGCAAATTAAGATATTTAAATTAAATTCTATTAAAAATTGTTCAGAAAATCATAGTTAATTTAGTAAATAATTTAAATTATTACATTTATTTGTAATATTAACATAACGTTCTCATTGTATATATTAATAGTTATTCTTTCTAAGTAAGTGTAAGTAAAAATAATCATAAATATAACATTACCTATAAACAAGAGTAACCAAAAAATTACTTTATTAATTTTGTAATATTAATATTTATTTTCTGTAAAATTGATAATAATAAAAAATTTTCTACTTGATATATGCGTAATTTTATATGTAGAGTGAAAAAAATTTATCACGTGCGTAAGATGTTAATGTTAATATTAAAGAGTAAGTTTTCATTGCGATAAATTTTAGTTTCGTGTACAATCGACTACTGTGAATAAATTACGAAACAGTTTTGAAGGATACAATAAAATTAATTTCATACATATAATTTTAAATGCAATTACTGAAAAATATTACTAAATAAAACTAATCAACATTTTCTATTGAAATATTTGTTGATATTAATAAAAGAAGCATTCAATTTACTGTAAGAGGTTATATTTTTTTTCATAATATATTTGTATAAATATAATAAAAATAATAAATGATATCATATATTAAGGGTTGCATAAAACCCTTTCCTATAATAAATAAATTTATTTTTTCTGTTGGAAGAATCTCATATGTCACTATGGTGAAATACTTAAATCAAACGGAAAGCATCAATGTGGACAAAGATTTATTTGAAAAATATAAATTTAGTGTCGATCAGTTAATGGAACTTGCTGGCCAAAGTTGTGCTATTGCTATTGCCCGTACTTATCCATCACTTAAAAACTCTACACAAAAGATTTTAATTTGTTGTGGTCCAGGAAACAATGGTGGTGATGGGCTTGTCTGTGCTAGACATTTAAAACAATTTGGATATTTACCTGAAATTTATTATCCTAAAAAGACAAACAATACATTATATGAAAATTTGCTACATCAGTGCATTGAAAATGATATTTCTTTATTAGAAGATAATATAGAATACATAGCTTCGAAGCAATTGCATCAATTTGGTCTTATAGTAGATGCAATATTTGGATTTAGTTTTAAACCACCTGTAAGAGATACATTTATTCCTATTATTCGTCTGTTGCAAAATACAACTATTCCAATTTGTAGCATAGATATACCATCAGGTTGGAATGTTGAAGAAGGACCACCCACAGAAGGTGGGATAAAACCAGAGATGCTTATATCATTAACAGCACCAAAATTATGTGCTAAGAAATTTAAAGGAAAATACCATTACTTAGGTGGCCGATTTGTCCCTAAAAAATTGGATGAAGCATATAATCTCAATCTACCTGAATATCCAGAAACTGACTTAATTCTTTTATTAAATTAAATCTGTGTAAAATTTAATTATTTGTCTTTTTTGTATACGGATATATTTCAATATATTAATATGCACAATGTGTACAATAATAGAAAATAAAATATTTATAAATGTTTTCAACAATTAAATTGTTCCACGTTAATACTTATATATTATTACCTATTATGTATTATATATTATTACCTATCAATACGTATATAATACAGATTATTATGTATTATATATTATTACCTATCAATACGTATATAATACAGATTTTACTTTCGTGATGAAATAAATTGATAGTGATAATTGATAGTAAAAATGAATAGTGATAATTTTTTATTTATGTAACATTCAATAAATATAATTAAAAATTATACTTTGTTTCATTTTGATTAAATAATTTAAATTTACCGCTACATGTACGTTTTTCATATATTTAGTATTAGTACCTAGGTGGCGTAGTAAAATCTAACAAACTACATTCATACATGCTATCTTCACGTAGCATAAGATATATAAACTAGTAGGCGGTACGATCCAAGTGACGTTTTGTCAATACCAAATTTATTACAAGTTATTATTACGAATTTTATAATTAATATTATATTTAATACAGTACAAATTAATAAATTTAAAAAATGGTAGGTTAGTGATAAATTATATGTTTTTGGATATATTACTTTATATGCTGTAGATTAACATATCTTTTCTAAGGCACAAGAGGTAGAAGAAACTATGAAACGTATTCAATCGCATAAGGGAGTGGTTGGAACAATTGTAGTTAATGCAGAAGGTATATGGCATGTTAATATGGTTGATATTAATATGGTATTATGCAAGACTTAACAAAAATTTACTAGGTATTCCAATCAAATCTACATTGGATAATACTACAACAGTACAATATGCAGGATTAATAAGTCAACTGTCAGATAAAGCACGGTCTGTAGTAAGAGATTTGGACCCAACAAATGACCTTACCTTCCTACGTATTCGTAGTAAGAAACATGAAATTATGGTGGCTCCAGATAAAGAGTTTATACTTATAGTAATACAGAATCCAGTTGATTGATAATCAAAAGAAACACTAATATATAAAATATATGCTTTGCTAATTGTTAATTATTTCATATAGCACATTTCATTTTAATGTTATCTATGTAATATTAATGTCGAAAGCAAAATAAGGTTTATGTTTTAAATTAATGCTAATGTGTTTTATAATGTCATTCTTAAATATTAATGTTTCAAGCACTGCAAAACAATTAAACATAAATATAATTAGGTCACCTATAGAAGCAAAAATTATTTATTGACATTGCAATTAATATATATTCAAAGTATTTGTGTTATATTTAAAATTTAATAAACAGGTTATTTTAAAATTTAATAAATTTTTATATTTATTTAAAAAAGTCTCGTTATTGTACATTCAAAAGTGTTTTTAAATATATATTGCATTTTTGTAAATACATGTGTAGATGAATATAAAATTTTAATTAGAATTTCATATAAAAAGATTTATAATATATAAATGATTAAGATATTAAAAATAATTGACTTTATTTATTACAAAAATATATAAAATATATTGAATATATTGAATATACATCTATTAAAGAATATAAATTTGGAGTACTTAATGTTACAATTTTTACAGATTTCTTTCATATTTATATATTTATGAGTTTTGAATACTTCTATATAGAATTGATAATGATTATAGAGAGCATAATAAAAACTGTACACATGTATCAAAATTATTTACTCAAGATAATTTCTTTGATTTCAAAATTTACATCAGGTACATAATTAGAAAATAAATTTATGTGTATAAAAATGTAAAAAAATAATTGATGAAAATGAATGATTACTGATAGAAATTACATATTTATAAAATTTGTATGCAATAAATATGTACTAAATATGAATACAACGATCTAAAATTATATATTTACACAGTTTTGATGTTTTAAAGAAGGATGGAAAATACCATAATAAACAATCATAGCTGTTATACCTAATAAAAATGGTACAATACAAAGAACAATGAGTACATTGAAGTACCAAGAATTTTTAACTTCATCTGATGAAGTATATAGCCAAATTGCAATTGCTATTAAATTTTCAATAAAGCATATTACATAGAAGAATACATGTTTAAGGAATGTATTACCATCTACTGTTTTCAGATATATAAACACATGTATTACACCAATTACTATGGAAAATAATATAGAATAAACGCGTTCTTTGATTTTTGGGGAACAATGTGGAGCCTGATTAGAATCCTTACAAAATTCCAAAATACCATGGGAATCAATAATGATCCAAATAGTCATGCATATCCAATGAAAAATACAACCAATAGCAGTATATAATGGCCACACACTTGCCAAAACACTTAGAGATAATATCCTTGAAACTAAAAAACTTGTTGTAGATATCAAATCTAGATATTTTTTTTTTTTTATATAATGCAATGTACATACCTGTAGTACAAAAATGCCATAAAAATTGAAGAACTGTTCCTGTGTTGCCAATATTTAATTTATCTTGTTGAACCAATCTAATGCTACGATGATAACTAGCCATTGCCCATCCCATACTTCCAAGTGAGCTAAGAATACTAGCTACCTGATGAATAACTATAATTTAGATGAATATCAATTTTGTTCTGTTAATTAATATTACATTAGTTATATAAAAATATATCTACATTCCAAGTTAATATCATTGTGGTAATGTTTTAACAATATAGTCAACTGTAAAATTTGTTGAGGAGCAGCTTCAAGAAAACATTCAGATACTCTTAATAATGCGACATCCTGATCTTCTTTTAGCATTTTAAGGTAATATCGCTTTTGAGCAGTACGGTCACCTTGTTTTTCATATTTACAAGCATTAAGAGCATATTTTAAAGTTCTGTAATAACGTAATACTGGTGCTAATTGAAATATTACAACTACAATGCAATACAATTTTTTTGTTAACATTGCATGTACACAATTAAATTTAGGAGGATTTGTTGTTTCATTTCTCTAAAAGACAGAATGACAAATTAGATGTTTAATAGTATCATTGTTTTTACTAAATATAATTTGTTACCTTGTCATCTTGTTGTTGCATTCTTCTGCTGATTATACAATTTATAAATGAAGGTAAAAAAATAAAAACTGTTGTCCATATAAAGTATGTTATTTTTCTATCTAATAAATATCTTATAGCAAGATTGATATCAATTGCCATGTCCACAATATGCGTAAGAATTGAAGATACCAGAAAAAAAATATCCAGGTATGTTATAGTTGGATTTTTCAGAGGAACATCTACATCGTCGACATTTAAATCCAGCGCAGGAAAAATGCCAATAATTGGTTTTGTACATAGATGTTTATTACTTTGAAGTTCCATATTTAATTATTATCAAATATCTTCAGTAAAGTACTCCAAATACATATTAAGAATTCCTAATTGTAATTCTTGCTTTATTCATTGTTTATAACATTTTTATGTTAAGATATAACCTATGTATAAACTTTACTTTTTTATTCAGACATTCGTTGTTTTATTGCTTTCACAAAATTTCTATTAAATATTACTTTTACTTTACTAATTGTCTAAATACTTTTTTATTTATTTTAATTAATATATAAATATAATTTAATACGTTTCACATTTTATTTTTTTTTTTTTAGTCAAACAGTGCATCACGTCACAAGTAAATTATACACGATAGTATTGGTGGCATTGTTAGAAATAAAAATTTATCGAAGATTTAATAAAATTAAAAAAATTTATTTTATGTCAAACGTCGTGACATTTTTAGGTGAAGTGTGTGTGTATATATATATATAATATTGCCTTGCAAATTGGCCACTGGTCCAAACTATTCCAATTAACAAAGTAGAATCTGTAGAAAGAATTCTGCTTGAATAAAATGAATCGGGAAATAGAGTAGTAGTCAAAGTAGTGTATATCAAAGATATATATAAAATATATATAAAATTGCATTTGTACTTCATGAAAATACTTTCAAGGATGGTGAAAATAACAATGACGCGAGATTACCATTGACCAAATAAGTAAGGTCAATGATAATAATATAATTTTGGCCATTTAATGAGGCAGTATTGTTTATATGTATATTATTTTACGTTGCGTAGCAACCTATAGAAACGACATGATCGTATGTAGAATTGTGATTTTATGAATTATTATTCATTAGTGCATTATTTTTTTGTAATAAATGAGTACAATAAATACTAAAAGATATCTAGTTACTATAATCATACAATATTTGATACTGTTTTTTGATATTTTTGTTAATTCGTTTGCTACTTTCTCTCGAGCGAATCCAATTAATTTGTTAATTCTCTACATGTATGTAATGTTTATATAAACATTGATATAATAAATAAATACATGCATCTGACTTTTTTGTTTTTAAGGGCTCAAGATATTTGTCTTATCACGACTCTCACACTTTTACTAGTTAACTTTTTTTCCACTTACATTTTTCAGGTAAATATTATTGAAAGTAATAACATCTGACAACTAAGTTTAAATAATATTGTAAAAAGTATATCTTTCTCATACAGATAGGATTAATACAATTATTATATACAAAATTTCGTGTAACATTAACATTGTGTATCATATATATGGTATTAAGCATTAGTCTACATACATGGGACATTAAAATACATTGGTCATCACCTCTCAAATATTATTGGACTAAAGATTTTCATGTCTTTTATTCATTACATAGAGGAGGTAATATAAATAATATAAATTTCAATAAAATTTTATATACATGATGTATTTATAATTTTATATTTAGTTGCAGTTTTACACTATTATCTCTATAAGAGGGCATCTCTTAGACTCGCAGATCCAAGGTTCTATGAAAGTTCAACATGGATTCAAAATCAGTTCAGCTTGCCATAATATTTATGAACAAATGAAATAAAGAATCTAACAAAAACTTTTTATTTGTACTAAGTAAAAGAAATTGAAGATAACAAAAAAAATTTTCTTATAATTTGTGTAAATATTTTTATTTTACTTTATTTATAACAAGAATATAGTTGAAACAGAAAATGAAAGTAGTATAATTATTGTTAATTTAAATGGAATAGTTTCTTTTATCTTAATTTGAATTTCTCAAAAATATCTGATGTGCAGAATGAGTCAATAAAAATGTCCATCTAGAATAACTCATTTCTTAGTGATTTTATAAAAAAATCTTCAAAATGAAATTTTTTATACACAGATTTTACGAAATTAAAGTTAGAATTACAATTAGAATAACTAATAATTTTTTGATGTATATAGGTTATTACTTAGTAGAGAATATTAAGTTGCAGAATAGTAGATCAAAAAATATATCATTCCATTTAAAAAATTTACAATCATCTTGATATTTTCGAAATACAATATTCAAAAATCAAAACAAATTTATCTGATTAGCCCCCTCGAGCACAATAAATTTCATTTCTTAAACATTTTTTTTATAAAATTATTAAGAAGCAAGTTATTTCAGGTGAATGTTCTCATTGATTCACCATGTGTTGCAGATATATATACAATATATAATAGCAATTAATTTTTAATACTATTTTTAAGAATAATTCATTTTATATACAGTATAAAAAGTTTTATAATAAAGTATTTTTTACAATTATGTTGATATTTTACAAAAATAAAATGTAAAATTTTATACAATTTATTATAAATATAGATTAAATTAATATAAACCATATGATGTGTAATTCATATTATATACATACAATATTATATTACATTTAAACATTAAATTAAGAATCATTAAACAAATAAACATATAAAATATGTTATCTAATAATATTGTGATATATATTCTATTATTCATGATATAAAATGTTAAGTTTGTACTATTTTAATATTTCTAAAATATAAATTAATATCACAAGAATATATTTCTTGAAGAATATATTTCTTGTATTAATAATAAACATAGAAGTGAGAAATAATCAAATGATTTATTTATTAAGATCATTTCTGTTATTATTACTATTAGAAAGAAATTACGAGAATTTTTTGTGTTGGTATAAAATTTACAATACTATTTAATTCAACATTTTTATCTTTAATATATACAAGTAAATTTATTATAAATTATTTATTAATTATTTCACATTTGCACTTCAATTTTAAGTCAAATATTAACAGTATTTCTTTGCAAAAAATATAAAGATTATATGAAAAAATTTAATTTCGGATCCTTATACAATATTTATAGCGTCAAAATTTTATTTTCAATGCCGTGTAACATTTAAGAATTTTTATAAAGATTAATACACCATACGTGTGAACAGAAAATTATTATCTCTATATCTTATTTCTATAAATAATACTTTTATTCATTTTTTACTTTTCAATTTTGTGTGAAAATATTTTGATAGCCAAATTTCTTCTAAAATAAATAATACTTTAGACTGTGGGTTTATTTGAATAATAAAGCAAGACATATTTCCTTATTTAAAATGTAAAATAACGATTTCAAAATATGAAATTTGTTAAATTTTTGTGAAAATAAATATATTTCTTTTTCATAAAACATTTAACAAATATACTTGTACATTTTTCAATTTTAATTTTTACTTTTAGAATATATAAGATATTGATAGCTCAATAAAAATAAAAATGAAAATATAAGCTTTTTACAATGGCTAAATAAATTATATATAATAAAATTGAAATAACATTGACATTAAAACTAATTTAAATTAGCGGCTAATGATTTGGATTTCACTCAAATTTGCCTATTAATTTAAATTATATAAAAGGAACTAACGTTATAATTCAGTGAAATTTAATGTCTTCTTCATACAGTATGATTACCATGAAGGAAGAGTAACTTATCTATTAAATGAGGAGGTAAAGCCGTTCGCCTTGTATCATATAAAACTTGTATTTCTGCTGGAATTCTAGAGGGTGGTGCACAACATGCAGGTACACAATTATATTTACAAGCCAATTTGCCCAAATTTGGGCATTTTGCAGAAATTTTTGCCCACCATTGGAGAGGGCAGTAGTCAAGTGGTGCAGTAGATTCAGAATGATATTGTACAAGTTCAAGGTCTGCCTTTTCTTCTGCAGGCATTCCACTTTTTATTGAACATAATCCTCCAAGCAAAAATTCCATACCTAAATGTAATTAAAATATTTTCTTTTCCCAGTGATTTTAAAGGTCAAAATCATTATATAACTCAGAATATTTACCTGATACACGGCTTTTCTTATTCAATGGTTCTTCTTCAACTTTTATATTTATATTATCACCAGATTCTTCTTGTATTAGTTTTGTCAACATTTCTTTTATATCAGTTGCTACTGAATTTTTATCTTCTTCAGTAGCGTATGGTAATTGCTTAAACCTAATATGTCATGCAATATTATTTTTTAAAATTTAAAATAAAAATAATATCGATAGTAATGTATAATTACCTTGGATCTAACGTAGTTGCAATTTGAAGTAAAAGAGTGACATTATAATCTGCATATCTATCACAAAGCATATCAGATAAAGATTCTTTGAAAGCCTTTGCTTTCTCACTGTCACTTTCTTTTATTTTAAGATGGGAAGATACAAGCTGCCACAGTAATGGTTTTAATAAAGATATTAATGGCATTTTTTCCTCACTAAGTGTCATGATAGTAACTTTAAATGGCTCAAGCACATTTACAAGATCTTCTATAATCTTCCACTGATCATTTGTTAAATCAACTACTTCTTGATCAATACCTTCCATGCTTTCTAAAATTGATGTTACAATATTGCGACGAAGAACCATTTGTTCAAGCATATTGTATGTTGATGTCCATATAGGTGGATAATCCATTAACATAGCATTTTCTTCCAACTGCAATTATATCAAATACATTTTAAAGCAAAAGATTAGTACATTTTTCTTAAATGATTTATTTACAATAACATTTTTTTACTTACTTCCAATAATTGTTCTTGCATAGCTAATGCTGCAGACGCAGCTGGATGACTTATGATAGCTCCGATAGCTGCTCTACATTTTGATAATATGGTAGTAACTTCTAGACTATCGAAGCAAGCTTGAGCACACACTTGTAAGGTATAAAGTAAACAAGGAACTAATGTTAATCCACGATTTGTTAAAGCATTCAGTAATTCTACCCTGGATGTGGCTACCACTACTGCAGTTATCCTTTCTATTTTCAAATCCCAATCAAGTAATAAAGAATCTATCATGTTACCCCAATGAGATTCTTCCCAATCTAAAGGAGCATGAATAGTACTTAACACTTTACATTCTAACACTGGTTCACCAGAGTTTTGATAATACACAGAAACAGTAACAAATTTTTCATCAGAATTTGATTTCCATTCTTCGATAGTCAAACCTACTTCACTTGTGATACAAGACAGAGTTGTTGCTACTGATTCGCGGAAGGTATCATAAATCTTTGGTATTATTTCCTCTTCCAATTTATTTTTACTAGGAATCTCACAAGGTGAACGTAATGTTGCAACTAGTCTTTGAAAACCACGTCCTTCTACTACCTCTGGTAGTTGTAAATCCATAATAATAAATTCAGCTATAGCATCTGATACAGTCTTTCCATCAATGCTTGATTGATTGATGGGATGATCCTCTGGCATGAGAAAAGCCAGATTTTGACTATTGTTCCCAATGTTGGAACCACTTTTAATCATCACTCTCAAGGGTTGGCCAATTGTGATATCATCTTCAATGTTGGACAAATTTATATTTGGATCAGTTACAAATTGTATATCCCCATCTATTTGGACGGTGCCATCCGCATTGGTAGTATAAATATGCTGGGCAGAAGTTATACCTGTTTTCAATAATTTTTTTTGTGCTCTTCTGTCTTTCGTCTCCTGAGAAAGTACCTGTCTACGTGGAGGATTGGTGGCTTCCAGTTCTAGAAGTTCTTGAGCATGTTTATTTTGTAAATGCATACGTAAATTACTGGTATTACGATTATATGCAATCTGTGTTTTACATAATATGCAAACAATTTTTACTTTAGTGAGAATGTCTCCGTCATCCGTAGCTGGAAATCCGAAAAATTTCCAGTAAATACTTCTCATTGACATAGGCACTACTAATTTTTTATAAGTGTAAGTATACTTTTCTTCCATCATTTTGGCGAGTACCATTTGCATTTCACTTTTCGAATCATCTGTTGTGGCAGATTTTCCACTGTTAGATAATGTTATGGGTTTATTTTCCATAATTGTAGATGAAAATACATAAGTACCGGTACGTCGTATTTTTCACTTATTAAAATACATATATACGATATATTTCGTTGTTATAATATTTTATGGTGTTTCTTCTCATCAAAAATGGAAGATTTTTGTTGCATAATTTGAAATACATCTGTTTATGAAGATACACGTTCCTTTTTACACATCAACCTTTCTCTATGGTTATGAAGGAATAACGAATTTACCGCGAATATTCCGATATCTCAAAGCAGCAGTTTGACGAATTATTTTACAGATATCGAACTTCAATTTCTCGTTTCGAAAAGAACGATGCACGATCGGTTATCGACCACCTCTCGTAACGATGCTATCGACTTTAGTTCATTTGCTCAAAGAAATATCGCTACGTAGACCTCTCAACTAATCGATTCCGTAAAACAGTATAGTTTCAACGAGGCGACATCTATATCGATTACTCGATAATATCTCGTATTTTGTTCTTCGAATCAATTGCAAAACGTATATAAAAGCACAAAATAAGCAATATTGTTCGCTATTTAAGCATAAATTAATAATTGAAAACTGCATACAACACAGTTTGTTAATACTAATATGTTAGATATATAATTCTGTTGAAAGTAACGACAATGATGTACTCTTGCCACGTACCAAATACTTGTGTGTTGTATTATTGTAAATATAACACTTATAATATTGTTAATAATGATATTAATAAGAGCAAAAGGCTTCTGTGAAAGCATAAGTGAATGCGAAATAGCAACTTTTAATAATCAGTTCTGAAAAAATTAACCTGTAATTTCATTTTTGTCACATTCTTTTTGTATTTTTATAAACATTGTTCAGGATATGTTATATGATTTTTTTGTAATTTTTGAGAACACTTTTATCTTTAAAGAGTTATTTCGAAACGTAAGAAATGCATATATCGAAGAAAACAAAAGTACTGTCTTGTTTGATAATATGGAGGTTAATTTCTGTCTTTGTCGTTCAAACTGCCCATGTACCAGATGAATATTGGCAATCGTTAGAAGTTGCTCATCGTTTAGCATTTGGTTATGGATATCTTACATGGGAATGGGTCATGAAAATTCGCAGTTACATATATCCAGTTTTGTTATCCATTATGTATCGTGTATTAGCACTGATATCATTAGATTATGCAATAATTTTAACAGTACTACCTCGAATATTTCAAGCAATTATAAGTGCTTATGGAGAATATAAATTTTATAAGTGGACGAAGAACAAATGGACACTGTACAGTTTATGCATAAACTGGTATTGGTATTATTGTGCCACTCGTACATTAATAAACACTGTAGAAACTGCATTTACTATGATAGCTTTATCTATATTTCCATGGCGAGACAGTAACATTAAAAGTATAAGATATTTATGGATTGTCGGATTTTTATGTATGATTAGACCTACTGCTGCTATTATATGGTTACCTTTATCTCTTTATCATTTATGTACAAGTTTACAAAATAAGTTAATATTAATATGTCAGTATAGTATAATATGTGCTATCTGTTGTTTCAGTTCAATATTATTGGATAGTTATTATTATGGTATATTAGTTATTTCTCCTTGGGAGTTTTTTCGTGTGAATGTTTTTTATAAGATTGGAGATTTATATGGAACGCAACATTTATTGTGGTACATTATATGTGGATTACCGGTACTTTTAGGATGTTATTATATTATATTTTTATTATGTATTTTCCAAATAATGAAACATTCATCCATTTTTCATCGTCAAGCAGTTATGTTAATTGTTATAGGTTGGACACTTGGTGTTTATTCTTTGTTGCCTCATAAAGAATTTCGATTTTTATTACCTCTTTTACCAATGTGTTTATACATATGCACTTCTTGTACATTCTCCTTGAATGTGAAATTCATAAAAACAGCAAAAAAAAGTTTTGTGGGGCTATTAATATTAACCAACGTGTTACCTGGTCTTTACTTTAATTTAATACATCAACGCGGATCGTTAGATTTAATGAACCTCCTTCATAAAGAAATTATTAATACTGATAATAGCAACATATTATTTCTGACTCCTTGTCACGCTACTCCTTTATACAGTTATTTACATGTGAATGTATCTACCAAAATACTAACTTGTGAGCCTAATTTCACTAATAATACAAACTATATGGATGAAGCAGACACGTTCTTTGCAAATCCAATGCAATGGCTTGATGAAAACTATAACAGTAATAAAAACATTACAATTCCTAATTATGTGATATTGTTTGATCATATTGTACCAAAAATAGGTCGATTTTTAAAACAATATCAATTATTGTCGCAAATTTTTTATGCGCATTTTCCACAATCAAATTATGGAAAATATATTTATGTATATAAACGTAAATAAAAAAGAGAAGAAAAAGATATACATGATACATACAAATATACAATGAAAGATATAAATAAGTAAAAAAAATGAAGAAAGGATATGCATTTATTGTATCTATTATCTTAGAAAATTATCATTTATAATAAGTTAATTTAGTTCTATGTAATTCAATTATTGTTATAATATTTAATATATAATTTGTTATTCTTATTTATTTTCTGAAATAAATACATTCATAATCAATAAGTGGAAATAATAATATAACATGTCTTTAATATAAAATCTAAGATTCTGTGGTTTTAAGAATAATAGATTATTTGTGTTAATGAAATTAAAGTGAAGAAAATAATGAAGGATAAGAAATAGTAGAATTCCTGTTATGTTATGTTTTGTAAAATGGAGGATTGCATAATAGGAAAAAACATTCAGAAATTCAGACAAATTTTTTTTGAAAGCATCAACAATACTGAAGAATAATAAATATTATATTATCATTATTTGACTTTCGGTGTTTAAGAAATGAACTTATTTTCTGATTATTGAATGGAAAGACAAAAGTATACCGTTACTAAATAAGATTTGGATCATATTTAGAAATCACATGCAAAGACGATAATTCTAACAGTGTTTGCTCAATACTAATTATCGTTTATAATTTAGTATTATTTTATCACATTATTTAAATATTCAATTATCCATATGATAATATACAGTTTGTATGTAAATAAAAAAGCTTTGTAATTACTTTAACTGATAATTAACTTTCAATGAATAAAACAAAATAAATGGGCACTTTCTTGAAATTAAGTATATTGCAATAGATTTGTATAATAATTTCATACGATTTATTTAAAGAAGAGAAAGAAAGAAATCACGTGAGAAGAAATGAACAGAAGACAAGAGAGTTATCAGTAAGAATCGCTAAATCCAAGAATCGCGATCGTAACCGCGAATAAAGAAAGGCGGACGTGGTAAAGTAACGCAAAGTAAAGTAAGGTAACTCGTGGCTATAATCGAAGGTACGGTAAGATGGTGCAAGTGGGATGGAAGAAAATATAAAGAGGGGACTGACTACATGGAGTCAACGTTCCGAGCGGGTCAGCGACCAGCTCTGTCTTTTTCTCTTTCACATTCTTCTCTTTTTCTCTATCTGTGTCCTTTCCACTATCATGATACTCTTCTTTCATGGCTATCTTTCCGTATTAGAAATTTTCGTTTCATCGGACGAGAGAATCTTAAAATGTCTTATCGTTCGCATATCTTCAATTAATGCTCTTCGCCGGGTTCAAACAGCATATTCGATGATTTAAATATAATAACGAGGAACACGATTCACCGCGGAAGAAGTATCGTGATTTGCGATGGTTTGAAAGTTACGTACGGCTATGTGTATAGGTACGTAAGGCACGAATATAATCCTTGTCGGAGAGAAAGTTCTGCACAACGGTGAATCCGCTCCCCTTCCTTCCCTATCGTGAAAGAGCATCCAAAACGAATTGTTCCATTCGCGAAGTATAGTCTAGTAAAATTTCAAATGATGCATAAAAAACTCGAAGATCGGCCCTGTTGTTTCAATCTAATGATACGAAATTCTCGAATATTTACGCATTATATAGATATTAGGTTTTATTTCAGACGTTTTGGTTCTACGTTATGCATTTCAGTGATTATTTTTTATTCAGCTTCTTGTTTTTTGGCTTTTTAATTCAACAAAACAGCAAAAGTTCCAGAAATAAAATACATAGGTAAATTCAATAAATATTGAGACGATAGATTATAGTTTCATGCACGCGAACATCAGTAAGTTAAGTTATGCGATGACCTTGTCGTAACGTATTTATAACTGCATCAAATTGCAAATTTGAAATTACAAATTTCAATCTTTCTGTCTCCGATTGATTCTCTGATTATAAAATTATCGTTCGTTTATATTAACATTCATTATAATCTTAATTTTGTCTGCAGGAACTAAGATAAATTTTAGGATCTATAAGGAACAGGTGTTTGGCAGGTGTTCCTAACTTACGGAAGTCTTCTTTTTTCTCCTCTTTTGCCTTTCCTTCTACAACAAGTAGCCATCGAACGTACCAATGAGTAAGTTTTTTTTTTATATATTTATTCGACATTGAATAACATATGAAAAACGTTCGTTTGTTTTGTTTCTTTTAAATAAATTAGTTGTTCATTCATCATTGAGAATAATAAATCTTATAATAGAAACTTTAATCACGTTTGAATGTTTGATGCTCGTGACGCGAACAACTTTTAGACAAGAGTGAATTGGCAAAAATGTTATTGCAAATATACAAGGAAACGCTTAAGATTCGCATCTATTTTATAACAACGGTAACATTCGTTAACGTGAAGGATCGACATAATATGAAAAGTTCAGAGTCCGATATCGTAAACCGGCTTTCTTCCATCGTTTGAGCAGACTTTGCTCCTTGAGCGTAGACTTTGGTCTCGCACGATTCTCACCGCCGCGACGCCTGTTCACGCGAGACTTACACCTGTTCGCTGTAAGGATTTCGTCCTTATTTATTCGTGTAACATGCCATATTGTCAATTCATAATTTCCTATTTCACGATAGTTAAGATCTTAAATATTA